ACGCAGAGGTACGTAGCGCGGGAAGCGCGGAGGTGCGCGCGCGCGCGCTCCGATTTTCCGAACGTTCTGACCGCCATACTCACCACCACCACCACCACCATCCTGGCCCGCCTCATACTCACCCTCCCTCAGCGCGCACAACGCGCGCACGAACTAATATATTTGACTACAGATCCCCGAGCCACACCAAACATGCCGCCCTTGCGCTCTGCGCTGGGTACAAGGCGTGGTGGGGCTTGAACGGCTTACCTCGATATCCGGCACCGGCGCGGGCATAGAACTCCGCGCAGGAGTTGAGGCAGACTTGCTGGGGTGGAGCGGGGCGAATGGGCGCGCGGGAGGAGGAGCGGGAGCGGGATGAGTAGTGGGTTGGCTCGCGGTGGGCGCAGTGGTCGTCTTCGACCGTGGCGTCCCGCGTACATGACTCTCAACTAGCTTGTTTACCATGTATTGACACGCCTTTTTCGGCTTTGACGCCAGGACACGAAGAGCAAGACGCGTCTCGGCATTCGCCGTGATCCGCTCACGCGCGTGGCCCGGTGTGGCACCTCTCCTCCCTCCGACCTCCTCCTCAGCGTCCCCGCGTACGCACGCGCTCTCGGTCGACTCGTACGATATTCGTACTGTACCATGCGGTACTGGCTGTCCAGGCTCGTCCCGAACCAGCCGCGGCGCGTCTCGGTACGCGTACATTTGCCTCCATGTTTCCGGCTCTCGTACTTCTTACCCCCAAGCGTCTCGTTTCCTGGCTCCTCCGTAGCCACGGAGCCTACTTGTATCCTATCTCCTTACTATCCCCTTCCTATTCCACCCCTTTACGGCATCCTAGCCTCCGGGTTGCGCCTTTGGCACCCTCTTCTCCTCCTCCTCTCCCAAATCCCCTCTTTGCTACTGGCTAGCTTACTATTTCTTACTTTCTTATTGGTTCATCTCTCTTATCTCTCTCTCTACCTGTTTGTGCCCCAAAAGTGCTACAGATGACTCGATTATCTCTACTATAAAAGCTACTGTACTGTTGGCTATGTACCTCAGGCAATACACCCCCATTTGCCCCTTCTCTTCCGAGCCGCTGCGCCCCACGCTGCGACTCACCGTCTAAGTTCCTCCGCTAGCTATCCGGAAGCCCTCCAGCTTCCTCCGCTAGCTCCGAACTCGGTCGTACGGCTTAGCGCCGTCCTCCTTTCTGCTTCCTTCCTTGCTCCCGAGGTCTCGCCTCGGCGCCCTCTAGCGTCTCTCGCACTTACCGTGCTTCGTTGTTGTGTTGTTGGTGTTGCTTACGCCTTCAGCCCCGGCTTAGTACATCAGTATCCTATGTATTCTATACGCATTATAAATTCTTGAATATAAATCTCTACTTTGAACCAATAAATTGAGCCGTACCCCAAAGAAAAGGAGTACGGGTGTGGTTCTGTTGAACGGTCTCGTGATCTCGTGGATCGAGATCAGCCAAGTCGCGCCTCGCGCTCTCATTTGGACCACCACCACCTCCACCGCCGCCACTGCCTGTCCCCCCTCCGCGAACACGGCCGCCACCAATTTCATCAACTCAATATCGACGCCGTTCTCGAAGCCCGTGCACGCCCTTGCTCTCTGAGCTGGGTACAAGTGCGCGGGGTTGCCTTCGAGCACCCCGGCCCAGGACCATAGGCGCACACTCTAGATGCGTTCATCTACTGTACGCGATCGCACTACTTACGCTTTACTTAGACTGCACTATGGCGCCAGCGCATAGCCGAATAGTTGAGGTGAGCATCTACTTGAATCAGTTCATATCCCCCGCCCTCCCTTCGACTTGCGAGGCCGCCTGCGCCACAGAGGACTTGCGCTGCGACTTGCCCAATCCCCGTACGCTTGGATGAGCTTTGACCGGGGCACTGGCGGGCGTACTGGGGCGCGCGGCTTGCTGGTTTGCGCGGAGACACTGTGTGGCGCGCGCGCCGGCCTTGCAAGTCCTCCAACCGCGTCTAATTGAATGGACGCGTTTTCCTCGGCTCTATTTTAACATTCACGCGTTTTTCGGCCCATACTAACTCATCTTGAGCCTTCTGCAGGTCGAACGCGCTCGGGGCGCGGGTTCTCGGCCTACCAACCCGAGACCATCGAGGCGCCTATTGACTATGCCCTCCTGCTCAAGCATGCGGTCGAGGTGCAGCTCGAGCAAGTTGACGACGACTGGTCCCACTCGCACGGCACCCTCCACATGGACCTCCCTCCCCACCATCCTACGCCATCCCCCCGCCCTTCACGCCCTCCATCCCCGTTGACGCCGCTTGCCCGCAGCCCCTCGCCCTCTGCGCCGCCGCCGCCGCCCAGCCCGTCCCCTTCGCGTAGCAGCACCGTCTACGTCATGGAGCTTGACGAGCTGGTTAGCGGAATAGCGCAGACCGAGGCCGCGGCGAGTAACGCCGCTGGCCGTAAACGGCCCGCATCCGGTAAGCCCTGGGCCCGAATATTGCCACAAAGCCTCCGCTCACCTGTAGATTAGGACCAGACAGCGGCGACGAGGCTGGCGCGGGACCCGCCAAGAAGCAACGCAAGAGATCCGAGGCTGATAAGCTGAAGAAAAAGGAGGCGTCGAAGCGGCGCCTGAAGGCGAAGCGGGCGGCGCATGTCGCCTCGGGAGAGCTTCCCATCCGCCGTCCGGCCGACGCTAAGCATGGCGCCAAGCCCGACATTGAGAAGCCTGCCCGCGACAACATCGCCCATGCATTCGACGTCGATAAGTGGGGATATGGGGCCATTAACGGCGGCTCCATCAAATCTCGGCCTTGGCGGGCGGGGGATCTCGATGCTGAGGGCGTCCGATATGTAGAATGGGACGGAAAGTGAGCCTTGCTTTCTCTCAACCCATCAGCTAGGCCTAACATGCGTTCACAGAAGCACGAAGGTCATTCTCGACGCCAAGCGGCGCATCGTCGCCGTCCTCCTCGCTCGTCCTAAGGAGTGCGCCGACGAGGCTGGGAAGACGAGCTGGGACCATACCATGGAGCGGCTCGCCGCTTTGTTTGATCGCATACGTCGCGAGCACGAAGGGCAGTGGAGTGGAGAAGACCACAACGGACGCAGGGGCAAGTTCACCTCGTTCGGCTTCGGGAGCTCGTTTGGCGGCGGGCAAGCGGCACGTACCCTATATGTTTTGTTTGGCGCGCCTAACGGTCGCTTTCCAGACCCCAGGGGACTTAAGGAAGGACGGTTGGCAAGCCGAAGTTACGAAGGAGCTACGGGAGCATCCCGACCTTCAGCGCTTGGCGCGCTGGGGGAGCGGTGCGTCTTCATATGTTTGGCTATCGTTGTCATGCTCAGTATTTTACAGAGGGCTTCGCCAAATTCTTCCCCAAGGCCTACGCCTTCGCCGCCAACATCATGCGGCAGCTCCTCGGCCGCGGCGACATCACGCGCAACTTCCCCGGTAGCGTCTATGCTGCCTCGACCTGCAACCTGGGCCCTCGGACGGTATGCCTCGATCACACCGACCACCTCAACTACCCCGGCATTCCTTGCGTCATCACCGGCTTTGGCGACTACAACCCAGACGAGGGCGGGGACCTCTTCCTGCTCAACTTTGGGTTGAGGATCAGGTTCCCACCCGGCTCTACCGCGATCCTCTCCTCCGCCGGCGTACGCCACGGTAACACGCCCGTACCAGACGGGCAGACGCGCTACTCGTTCACCCAGTACACAGCCGGTGGGCTCGTGCGCTGGGTGTCGATGGGCTTTCGCAAGGCGACTGGGATGAATGTCGCCGAGCGCGTTAGGATTGATGGTGCGCCAGGCTCAAACTGGGAGGAGCAGCTAGCGCGCTTGAGCGTGTACGAGGAGTTGCAGGTGGATCGTGCCGCATTGGTCACAAAGTCTGGCGGATAACGGTACTATACAGCTTTTATTTCGCTATTGTATGGATCTATTAAACTGTTGTACTCAATATGTTACCTCATACGCTATAATCTACTCGATTTTTTTAGATGCACTCTACTCTAATAGATGTAAGCAACATGCGAAACTGCCTGGTAAGCTAATGCAGTAAGTGTGCGCTAGCAGGTGGGCCGTACGCCACCAGAACGGGGCGTGGGAAGAACGCGCTCGGGTCGCGTTCAGACTTGTGGCGCGCCGTGACTCTGAACCACCACCGCGCCGCGCTCACTCGCCGCCCGCACGCGCTCTCCCTTACCATCACCCTCCTTCTCCTCCTCCTTCTCGCCCATCTCACTTGCTGCTCTTATCATTGCCGCCGGGGCCGCGCTCAAGAAATCACCGCGACCCTCCCAACCACCGCCGCCACCTTCGCGCTACCGCGCCCGCGCCACCCCTTCTTCCCTGCCCCACTCTCCACCTCTCTGAGCTACTAGACGCGCCCTTGTGCACTGCACTGGGTACAAGCGCTAGTTATTGCACATCGAGATGGCTGGGTTCGAGTTCAAGCCAGGCAGGGAGTACAGGGGCATCAAGAGGCGAGCAAAGCCCGCGCCCCCCGCACCAGAGTTCTCCAGCGCCACGGACGCGATCTCCGCGCCACCCAGCACGCCCGCCGCACCCGCTGCGCCACCCGCACTCTCTGCACCCATCCCACAGCCCTCTGCGCTAACCTCGCCGCCTCCCGCTCCCTCTCCGCCCTCCCCGCCAACTTCCACTCCCACCTCGCCGCCTCAATCAACTCCCCCAACCGAGCACTTCCCGGGAGGGTATGCATTCGTCGTTCTGCACAGCAACGACGAAGCTCTCGTGTGTTATAACACGACTTATGCTCCCCCGGATGCTCACGTCAACGAGGACAGTGGCGGAGTCTTTACGGGCGAGGATGGCTGGTGGAGCCACTATGAGTGGTCGCTCATGCCGACACTCTTCGATCACGAGTCTCCGCACCTTGCTTTGTGCGAGGTCCACGAAGGCGAGGCGTTGGTCGGCAACGCCATGTTCGGCGAGCTCACTTCGGCTCATCTGGAGGCCCAGGAGGAGCCCAGGACGGCGTACACGATGGCTGAGAAGGTGCACAAGTCCATCGGCTTTCGCGTTCGGCAGCTTCGCAGGATGTTCGACGTCGTTGCGTCCATCTTCCGCTCCGCCTTCACCGACAAGAGCCAGAAACTCTTCGAGACGCTCGACGCTCAGACCCAAGCCCTTCTCCGCAAGGCCGTCATTCCGACCGAGCAGGCGCTCTCCATGACCCAGCTGTGGGGTGGGCTGCGCTGGTACGGGATCGAGCACGCCGCGGACTGGAAGGCTTGCTGGCGGGCGTTCCACCGCGCCTTCTCCGACACCTCGGCGTTCGTCGACATGTGCGCCGCCCTGCTGCCAGCTGGACTACCCTTTGGCGATGCAGACCAAATCCTGGGCATGCTTCGCGAGCAGCGACAGGCTCAGGACCAGAAGCCTGGTGTATCTCGGCGCGGCGTTATCCTCGCCGGCACAGACATACGTGACTACCACGCCATCTACATGCGCTTGAACGTACCAGTCTATTGCCTGGTGCTGCAATCGCAGCTCACCGTCGCTCGCGAACTTATTCGGCCGGCAGGCTCCTTCCGCTGCAGCACAAAGTCGTGTGACGCATCCGGTGCGTGTCCACCAGCCAGTTGGCGCCCTGCCTTCACTAACCTCGTTTGCAGGCAATATCTCCGAGCGAGGCTTGCCCTCCATCTGCTATCCCCCTGCGGGTGTCGGCTGGGTTGAGTTTGAGCGCATCGCTCGCGGAATTCTCGCACGGCGGCGCGAGGCGGCGCTGAAAACGGCTGAGCTAGAGCTCGCCAACCAGAAGAAGCGGAAACGCCAGGAGCTTGGTGCGTTGCTTTGCCGCAGCAAGCGATCTTTCACTGACGATTCGCCCAGTTGCCGCCATGCGTCAAGACAAACGCGAGCAGGAGTTCCGGGAGGCGCACCCGGCGATGACAATATCCGCCGAGATCTACAAGGCCGTCGCCTGGTACTCTCCCGCCCTACGCTCTTACTTCGACCGGCAGCGGAAGGGTAAGGAGACGCAGCACCGCTTCGCTCCCTCCAAACTTGCTGCCTTCGTTGAGGGTGTCCGGCGCGCAATGGAGACCCCGCAGACCGCGCAGCACACTGGGCCGCGGAGCATGTTCTTCCCGACAGTCGAGCAATTCCTGTCAGTCAACCGCTTACGCTTAGCGCGTATGCTCACGATGTTCGTGTGGCTGCTGCCCACATTCCACGCACGCGTGGTGCTCGCGCGTACCGAACCTCAGCAAGTGCGCCGGTGGGGCACCAAAGACATCAAAGGGATCCTCGGTGGCGAGCATTTCGTGCCGAGCTACATCAAGAACAAGTACGAATCTTTCTGGAGCAATCCGAACGAGTTTTGGCAGCATGGCGGCGCAGATCTCTGGGGTCAGGAGGAGGCCAAGCGCCTCAAACAGCCAGGCGCTCTTCCTCAGCTGGGCAGGCTACCTTGCGGACACGAGGCGACCGTCGACTACATATTCAAGAACGACGCAGTAGCGGAGAGTTTGCTCGTGTCGATCGGGCAGCTGGACGCGCTCTATTCCCTTGTGCGAATGGCCAAGCCGACATCTCTCAAGCAGGCTGGGCTTCCGCTCGTCGAGGAGCCTCGACAGGCCATATACGCAAACGGCTACGACGCTAGCCGCGTGGCCAAGAAGCACGTCGGAAAGGCCGGCCTTGCGAACACCGCCGCGGCAGACTTGTCTGACATGCGCAAGGGCAGGAACGCGCCCGATCCCTTCCAGCACCGCACGCCCTCGATTGCGGAGTTCAATCGGGCGACGAGTAATACGGTGCTGGGACTGATTCGACGCATCGTTATGCACAAGGGCTTCATCGCGCCATCTGGATGGCCGACGCTGTGGGACGCAGGAACGAGCATGGAGAAGGAGCGCAGGGCATGGCTCTTCGACTTCAAGATCTTCTTGATCCAGCATGCCGTGTATGGCGAAAAGATCGACGAGGAGATGCAGAAGACTTCCGTCCACAGCTGGCTGTCGACGAACGAGCTCCGGGCAAAGTGGCATCCGCCATCGCTCAACGCTGGGAAGCAGAGCGAGCTCGAGGAGCACCTGTTCTGGCGCTACTCCCTCACGGCGATGAACTGCGGTCTCCCGCCGCCTGCTTTTTATCACGAGCATCATTCGGGCGAGCCCGCCAAGTGTGCGCTGTGCAATGCACCGCCAACAGTTCCCGACGGCGCTTACATGGACCACGACTTGGACAACGAGGACGAGGACTGGGAGTACCCGAGGGGCTGGAACGAGCAATAGGCGCTTTCGCCGCCGCCGCCATACCCTGTCCCTCACGCTTTCTTTTTTGAATCCTCACCTTCGGTTCTTGCTTTACCAACGCTCTGCAATACACCTACTCATGTACCAATCTCACACTCACTAGTTCCATGGCATTCTCATCTTTCTCGTCATCACCCTATACCTTGCTCATGTATCATAACGCGCTCTCCGTCACTGCTTGGATATTGAATCAATATTTGACTCTAAACTATCTGTTGGATTGACCGAGGTATTATCTCATTATGAGGGAGCCTTTTCCTCTTGCTGTCTAGAGTACTAGGAGACCGCGCTTGGTGTTGAGCACGCCCAGGTTGTGTGTCTCCGAGACCTTGTACATACGGATGCGAAGCGAATAAGGCGCGCGGCGGTTGGTCTTCCCCGCCTCCGTCCCTGGCGTGGCCCGTCCCCGTGCCCTGCGAGGTATCACGAACTCGGGACGGATGCTACCCGTACCCCACCCCATCTACTCTCCTGCATCATTCGCGGCTATCTCCCGCAATTCATTCGCATCTCCCATCTCCCCGCGTGGACAACACCCTTCAAGGGACTTGGTTCAGAGCGGACGGCGTAAATCTGTGGGTAGTAGAGTACATGCAAGGCACGCAGAAGGCTTTGTTAACGTGGCGTATGAATAGATTCATTAATGCCTACATACAAAGGGTAGCCATGTTTGGGAGTGTAGAAGCGGCCGGCCGAGATGGGGACAGAGCCCGCGCCGCCTTGGTAACGCCGCCGAATGACCAGTTGAAGCCAGATACGCCCAATACATCCCGTATGTCGACTCTCTACAGATGCGCGTATGCATTGGCGGCGATGGGGTCGTTCAGCGCGATGAACTGTGTTGAATACGGTGACGTATGCGGGGCACAGCAGTGCCGCTACATGGCGAAGGCGAAGGGATGGCCGAGGTATTGGCTGTAGTCATATGAGTTCAAATGACATGGAAAGGTGTTAAAGACATACCTACTGCTCTCAGGGCAGTGCTAGGTCCAGTGGTGGGAGATGCGGTGCTTGCATACTTCGCGAGCCAGAGAGGGATGTAGATGGAGGACTGTCGGTCATACGCCGTTCCATAGGTCTCAATTTGACCACCTCCTTCTTCTTGTACGGCCCTGAAAAGGCGTTTCAGTACATGAAATCCTCGAATTGCATGTGAGCCTACCTCTCAAGGCTCTGGGGCCCTTTTGTCTGTGCTCACTACTCATGCACGTATGTGCGAAGCCCGTGTCGACGCAGCGTTGACAAGGGCGAGCGTCCTCGCACTTTCTTCCTTTCTTCGCGCAATTGGTGCACTGAGCAACGCGACATTGCACAACGCGCATTTAGCTGCGAAATATGTATGAGGTAGTGGCAAGCATACGCACTGCGTTCTTGCACTGCTGCCGTTTGTTCTTCTCCTGCGCCAATGTGGACGAGCTCTCTGCGCCGATGGTCAGCATCATCCCGCCGAAGGTTGCATGTATGCGAGACTCACGTATCAAACTATGTTTAAAATGGGAGCTCTGGTTGACTGGTGTGATAGAGCCGTTGATGGTCTGTAGAGAGTGCGTAGAGGTCGATAGAAGTTGGGCGAGGTGCGGAGGTGGCGAATCTAGTGTCGGCGACTGTGAAGAGGCCAATGTAAACATCGAACTCTGTGGTAAGATAGCCATAAGAGACGTTGATAGAGTTGCTGGTGTCGCTGACAGACCGCACGGGCTAGCGCTGAGTGTGTGAGAGGGAGCTCCTGATGATGGTTGAACGCAACTTGGCGCGCGCCACAAGTCACGCCGCGTCTTCTCTCCCACCACCATCACCACCATGGCCCGCCTCGACCTCGCCGCCGCTGCCCTCCACCACCGACCTCCACGTCCCGCCCGTCCGCAGCCCTTGTGCTCTGCACTGGGTACAATGCGGCGGGTTCCATACC